CCCTGTGCGCCCCGTTGTGCTGTGCCCCCAGGTACCGCACGTACGAGGTTCTTAAGGAGGAAACCGCGAACCCCCGCGTGAGGTGGGCGTACCTGCCGTACTCGATGCACATGGCCGGTCCTCGCGAAGTGAGTCAGTCGGCCCACTCCGTACGTTATCGATAGACGCTAAAATACCACAACAGCGCTAGTTCTTAGAATTGAGTAGACGAAAATTGCAAGGTTATTATGCCTGTACCGTCGATTTACCTTGGTCAAGTCGGCACGATCGTGGCCGCTACGATAGCATTCCGTCGGACTACAATGTGCCGTAGCAGGACCAAAAGGCACGGTGGTGTTGCTACAATATCAAATAGGCTACAGTCGAGGGACCTGTATTGTGCCGGTTGAATAGTGCCAGGTGTCCGGTATTGTACCGGCAAAATCTCTGGACACAGGCAGCGCTTTCAATAGTGCCAGACCGGCTCTACTGAGAGCTTGCCCGGTATAGTGTCGGTTGGGCGGGGCTATAACCCCCAATGGTGCCGGTTCACCCGCGCGTGCACACACACGAGTCCGTTTAGCGCGATCGATGCTAATAATAATAACACACACACGACGAAACAGCCTTGCTTCGTATGAAGGCTTATCATACCAACAGTATTCGGAGACGGCTTACCTGCGAGCTGGCTCGTTTTCTGTCCGTACAAAATCGCGATGTTTTCAAATGTCATGGACTCCTGATCGACCAGTTTCCACCACGGCCAAGGTTGAGGTCTCAGTAGCTAGTGCAGATAAAGAAGATGATGATGTCAATGAGGGGAATTCATACAGTAGCGATGAACGAGGAGGAGAGGGAACGAGAGAACAAGAGGACAACCAAGGCAGCAATCGAGGAGGGAATCATGGAGAGGAAGAGAGCAGGAGCTTTAAGCCGGATGATCGTCCTCAAAACAAACGGCGCAGGGCTAGAAAAGAATTGCCGAGAAATAGCTGTAAAAATGACGATGAGAGTGATGCTGGTGAAAGCAAGGAGGATGATAGTGAAAGCACCCCAACACGAACTCGAGTGGAACGTAGCAGCCTTGGTAGACACGTGCACTTTTCTTCTGTTGCTACCGTTTCTGTCGTTAACCCGGAGAATAGCTTAGCCGCCCCCTCACGGGGTCCCAGTTAATGGCATTTAGAAGTGTTTTGTGTTGTCAACCGCACTCAGACTGACGTCTTTTTATTGGTCAGCCGGTTAGCGCGGTCGATGCCACTTGAAAAAAGAAACAAACGCAACCAAGCAGAAGGCAGACAACACACACAGAGAAATCGGTGCGCATACTGCTGCAGAGTCTGACCCGAAACGCTTTGTACGAACGGGAGCTTGTTCAGCAGTTTCTGCCGTCACCGGTTAATCGGGTGCATGACGCGCGTCTTCCTTTCGCCGTCGACTAGTGCTAGTGAGGTACTGCTGTAGCCCGAAATGCAACTACTTTATTTTTCAACGAACTCTTGTGGGTTCGACAGGGTGGAGAAAGTCTGCCCACACCTACGCTAGAACTTCACGAAAATGTCGATCCATTTGGTACTCTGTTGGCCCCGCATGCGTGAGCGCCACACCGTAAATCAAACACGTCTCCAATAGTGCCAGACCGGCACTATTGAGGGATTGGGCAGCCCTCAATAGTGCCGTCTTGGCACTATTCGCAATAGGGACGGGTGCCCGGTTTAGTGCCGGTGAACGTGCTGCGCACGTACCGGCACTATACAGGGCCCTCGACCTACTGCTGCTTGTTTTGGTGGAGTCGAGTCCGCCTCACCTGTCATGTGTCAAATACCTTTGCTGGTGGGATCAGGAACGTTTGCCCGGGTGCCGACCCGACCTTGCCAACTTTCCGCTGCGTTATTGTTCTTTTCAGTGCTGTCTGTGCGGTATATGCTTCGTCATTTAGTCAGATGTTGTTTCCTGCCTTGGCGTACCGTACAAAGGCAGTAGAGCTTGCAGCTGTTTTACCACCTCTTACAGAACTACGATGGTACAGCAGGACGTGTGGTAGACTCGCCGTTGGGTATTATAGGAGGAAAAGCCTTGTTTCTGTTCGGAGGCGGTGCAAGTGCTGCTGGTTCGGGACAACCCGCCCGTGCACATGCGCACCACGGACTACGGCTATGGCATGCCTGTCCTGTGACCCTCTTCACCAACTGCTCTCGCTAGTCTTCAACGCTCTTCTTCTCTGCCTCGGTAGAACGGTTCAGCCCGTCCCCGTCTCTCATTTATATATATATTATATATATATTATATATCATCATCAATTTGATACCGCCCCACAATGTCCAACCACAGGCCATGCAGCACATGATGATCCGCAAGAACTTCGGGTGCACCCACTTCATCATCGGGCGGGACATGGCCGGCTCCAAGAGCAGCGTCACGGGGGATGACTTCTACGGGGCGTACGAGGCACAAGAGGTACGCACAGTGCGGTACCTACCAAACTGCGCTAGTACAGTAGTGCACCATGCGTAACAGCAACACACACCGCAGTGCCTACCCCAACGCATCACCCCACAAACCTCAATGCAGCCTTTCAGGGGCCAGTGGTGGCGGTGGTGTGTGTAAGGCGGAGTCTTAGTGTTTGGCCCGCACAACAGCCAACCCCACAAGTGTTGTTGTTGTTGTTGTTGTTGTTGGATTTGATAAGCCAGCTCCAGGAGATGTGTGCTTGTACGATAGAGATTGAAGACAAAACATCAGCACAATGAGTGCTCATCGACGCGCAGCCCTCAAAATGGAACCCATCCTGTCCTCGAAACCTAGACTACTTGGTTGCTTTTTCTATTTTTTGTGTCCCACGTGGTAATGGTATATGCACCACCACGGTAGGAAAAATGATCATATCATCTACTTGGAAGTAGTCTCTTGTCGCATCACCGATTTTGCCGCTTCTGCATTTCCGAGGCGTCTCTTGTTTTCATGGCAACTGAAATCGATGTAGTCACAAACGTTGTAGTAGGTTTTAGTGTTTTTTTGTGTGTATTTTTTCTCCCATCATTGGACTCTGTCGTCTGCCCCTCTGGCCCCATTCCTCCACTTCTACCAGCTAGACGACCCAACCGGGGTCACATGGGAGGGGGGGGTTGGACCCCCTCCTACGGTTCCTGCCTGAGATGTTTATATGGCGAGAAGGGTACAGCAATCCCTTCCCTCGCGACTTACGAAGTCGATCAAGTTTACTAACAACGAGCTCTGCAGCGCGTCGCTTCCAACGGAGACCAGGATTTAATTAGCGAGAAAAACTCACTCTGTCGGAACTTGAACCCATGACCTGGCCCTTAGCAGGCTGCGAGGCTACCCACTAGATCACCGGGGTGTCATTACCTGAAATGTTCGCATTCGCTGAGCCCCACCTCCCCCCTTCACCTTCCCCTTGGCCTCTTTCTTGCCTTGAACAACAATGACCATTCTCTGTACGTGTGTTGGTCGATGTGCAGTTTGCGGCGGCTAACTCGGAGGAGCTGGGTGTGAAGTGCGTGCCGTCTTTGAACCTGGTGTACACGGAGGAGGAGGGATACGTGACGGCCGACGTCGCTGAGGAAAAGTCTTTGGTGAGACAAGCTACTCTCTGCTGTACACTATTTATTTTCAAAAATGACTCGGACGAGAGGAACAAGATGCCCTCATGGCTTTGTTTTTTGGTATCGCGATTGCTGTCCTCGTCCGCATTGGTATTGATGGTTTTGGAGCTTTTTGTTCCGTTGAGCCAGCCCCTTTCCACCCACCAGACATCGCCACCTTCATTCTCGGTAGCATAATGTTAGGGGTGTCAAAGCGGAAAATTTCCTATAGAAAAAAAATTGAAAAAGCGTCCTCGGATCTTGCTGATGGAAAATCGACCAACCAATGAAATTGCACGGAACTGTCGGAATCTCCCGAAAAGACCCTCTGACCCACACGCGCGAGGGCGCCGCTCGTGTGTGTGCTCTGATTATTCAGCGGGTTCTCTCTTCCGCCTGGCGCTGTCCCGCCACCGCCTACTCCTTCTCTTGCCCAATGGCTTGTTTCTCCTGCTCGGCCTGCTGTCTCCGTGCCCGCTCCGACTTGAGCTCCTCGTCTGTCGCGCGCGCAAACTCCAGAGCCATGCAAGCTTTGCTATCGTCCTCACTTCTCCTACTTTCGGCCAGCTCCTCCTTCGTTCTTTCCAGCGCTTTCTGCGCGGCGGTGATGCTGCCGCGCTCGATAGCGCGCCGGGTGTTGTCTGCTGCTGACGCATCAGCCACAGACATCCCCGTCTTCCCTTCAAAACTTAGTTTTGATTTGATTCAGCTTTCGCGCAGCGCGCCTCCTGCTGCCGAACGGCGCGGATCTCTATTTTTTGGGGGGGGAGGGTCTGCTGGTGTGGGCGCTGCAGCCCCACTGAAGGGGCCGTTTTCAGACATGTAGATCTCGTGGTTGGCTGATGCGATTCGGATGCGGTTTGTTGTGTGGTAAAGCTGTAGACCCAAGGTAGAGGGCTGTAAGGTCGCTTTCACGAGAGGAGCAAAGGTCGCCTTGGGCGTGGAGCAAAGAGCTAATAAAAACATCTTTTTTGGTGTTGTTCGTCCGCCCTTTAACTTTAAGAGAAAACCTACCTTACAGGCACCTCCATTGGACCTGTGTCCAGGTGTGTGTAACGCATGAAGAGCCATGCTGCTGTCTGGACGCAGAGCTGCCTGCAGAAACAAATTGACTTGATGTATAGTTTATTCAGTATTAACAGCGGGATTCTCAAGAACCAAAAAAAGAACCAAATTCGTGTGCCCCCCTCAAATTTTGACGAATGGACTGGACGTTTTTTTGGCCCCAAATTCCACCGCTTTGACACCCCTAAGTGTAGTGTGTGGATATTGTAGTTTTAGTTCATGTTTCTTCAATTGTCCGCTTCCTGAACATTTGCTTCTTGTGCACTGCCTTTCTACCAGGTGGCGATGTAGACGTTACTTAGTGCCGTAGATATTATCTGGCTGACTACTCTGACTGGCTGGCTAGTATGCCCGCGGCGGTAACAGCGATGGCATATGCTGCTGCTGCTGCCGCAGAGCATCCTATGCTTGCATGTCTAGGATTTCCTTGTTCGGAGCACAAAAGAACAAACGCCGTTGCTGGATAAGCATGAAACTCTCACTCACACGAACTTGACACTACGCTTCTTACCTCCCCATCTCGCGTGCGATCGCTGATAAATGAATGCAGACCAAGAAGTCTCTGTCGGGCACCAAGTTCCGCCAGATGCTTCGCGGCGGGGAGGACATCCCAGAATGGTTTGCCTTCAAGTCGGTGGTCGACGTCCTTCGCGCGGCCAACTAAATTGACCGATTGATAGATTTCTCGGCTAGTGATTGATTCAATTTGATGCCATGGTTGGAAAAGAAACGTCAATCAAAAGCTCCGCCGTATCTGGGTTGTCTGTGTTTAAGTTGTTGATGATGGGCTGTTATTCTTGGTTGGCTGATTCGGCCGGTTGGTTCATGACATATAGTCTAGAGAGGCGTGCGGGAGTGGGAAGGCATGGAGTGAGGAAGAAACACACTATTATGGAGGAACATAGTATTCAGGTCCTTGGCAGTTGGTTGAGCAATATAAAATCAATTGTTTCGATCTATAGCTTCAACAAACCGTATGGAACAGGCGGTCACGATGAAAAAAAAAACAAAAAAAAAGTCGGCGATTACACAGAGAAACGCCTCATTATGTCATTTTTTACCCCGCGGAGCAGATTCTAGATATGGCGCGAATCCCAGCACATTTCGGCCGTTTTTTCATGCATGTTAACCCACGATGGCTTGAACGAACCGCAGTGTCAACGCCGTCATCATGAGAAAAAAAAATACAAAAAACAAAGTTTTTCCCGAAGAGAAATCGCCACATGTGCCGAATTTTCTTGCGAATTTTGGCCTTGGCGGCGGCGGAAAATTTGGCCCAGGTTGTTTGATATCTTGGGCAAATGGCTGCTTATGTCCACCACCCACAACTCAAACGAACCGTATCACTGGGATCGCCATGCGAGAAAAGAAATGCTGAAAGAAATGTTGTTGGTATTAAAAATTATCATGTATTATCGACCGCAACACGTCAACCTCGCTCGTTGAAGGTTAAGCTGCAAGACGTCACGCAGAACGAATGAAGACATAAAAACTGCCATTCCCTTGGAATCTGCAACATGCAAAGACTCAAACCACCACATTGACTTAATTAAGGGAGAGGATCCCTTCGAGACTGCGAAATGTCCAAAACGGAGCCTGTCCTGGGGGCCAAGTCGTCACACTGCTGGGCAGCTTGTTGCTCGCGGCCCCTTGCTGGGGTGTACGTGTGTCCGCTTCGGGTCCTTGCTGCTGCTGCTGCTTATTCGCCATCGCGGCCTCGCGAGCGGCGACGGTTGCTTCGCGGACAGCGAGAGCTGCCTCCTTCGCGCGCAGCATGATCGCCAAGTTCGCATTCTCCATCCTGGCCTTCCCTTTGGCTGTCACGCCGGTCGCAACATAGCGACCCTTCCTTTTGGTCACCATGTGCGCACGTGCAGCCGTGGGCACCAGACACAAGGTGCCTCTGTACCACAGCGGAGTGCTCGACACCGACGTGTTGGATTTCAAAAAGGGGCACGCTGCCCGGATCGCACACTCCCAGGGTTTCCAAAACGTTCTGTTCGCGCTGTCAATTCAGAACCAGGCTGCTCCAACCCTATTTCCCAGTGAAAAAAGGCGCTTGAAGCGCCCATTTTCAGCTGCATATTTTGTACGGAATACAGAACTTCTGAGCGCAACTCGGGTATCTGCAGAGAGCTAAGGTCATGAGCTTTCTTTTAATCCCACGTTCATACTGGTGTCATCCTTATGGGTGTCCAAAGATCTGTTCTGAAGGCCACAAATGCGTATATTTTCGGATAAAGCACAGAAAAAAATATTTCAAAAATATTTCTTTCAGGGCATCCATCCGATCTCGGGCTGCGGGTGCGCGTGATCGTGCATCCCTCTCGATTCTGATCTGCTTTTGACGCCACGAAATGAATCCTGACTGAATCCGCGCGCGCTCTATCTTCAGT